GGTGGCGTGCAAACATATATAAGCAGAGAGTAACGCAATTAAATCCGTAAATTGAATCGGCCATTCTTCGCGCCGGATTGACAACACTTGATGGACCGCGACGAGTTTTCCTCCTAAATCGGGTCGGGGGTTCGAACCGCTAATGGATAACATAGTCTCTTTATTTGATCGACCGTGAGATATTAATGGCCCCCGTCTAATTTTACATTACGACTATAAAATACATCGAGCCCGCTGCCGGCCGTTTCCGGCGTCGATATCTCGCGAAAATAACTCTGGAATTTGAAACGTTAATTATAATTCGCCGCGCGGATTTAGCACGGCTTAACGAATTAACAGAATAATTAATTGCGTTTCAATGGGATGCCGATTAGCGACTCTCTGCTTCTCGCGTCGAATCGAATCGAATAATGCGCTTTTAGCCCGTCTTGGGTTTCTTAAATAACGCTAAGCGAATTCGAGAATAGCGTAAATTTTTTTTGTAACTTGCTCGAAAATGTCGGAAATAAATGTTCGCTCAAAATCTTTACTAATCGAATAGAAAATCATTTAATTGAATCATTAAATAATTTATATTTATGCAAGCTTACAGTTAAATTACTGTTAATATATATTATTAACAATATAATAATTTATATTGTTATATTATTATATTATTATATTATTATATTACTATATTACTATATTACTATATTATTATATTACTATATTACTATATTACTATATTATTATATTATTATATTATTATATTACTATATTACTATATTACTATATTATTATATTACTATATTACTATATTACTATATTATTATATTATTATATTATTATATTACTATATTACTATATTACTATATTATTATATTACTATATTACTATATTACTATATTATTATATTATTATATTATTATATTACTATATTACTATATTACTATATTACTATATTACTATATTACTATATTACTATATTACTATATTAGTATATTATTATATTATTATATTATTATATTATTATATTACTATATTATTATATTATTGTACTATTTAATTAGTATTTTCGTAAAACAGGGGTTAATTAAACTTAATTCCTGCGCGCAATCTGAGCGCGAATTGGGGAGAAATTACCGTAAAAGCAATTTCTAGGCGCTTCTGCGCGAACGTTGTTAGACTCCGGAACACAAATTCCGTTCTGTTTTCAGATACGGCGGCCCGGAGTCGTACCAAGTCACCCAGAAGTTCAACATCGACTGGGGCACGTATCTGGTAACGAACAAAAGCATCATTTACGCGACCATCGACGGCCGTGGTTCCGGTTTAATGGACAACGGGATGCTGTTCGCCGGATACAGGAAGCTGGGCACCGTGGAGATCGCCGATCAGATTAACGTGACCAGGTGAGTCACGGGCGTTCTCAAAGTAAAAGAAACTTCGCCCGGCGTGGCCGCTGCTCTCGTCGCCCGTTTGCATATTCCGATACAGTCCGGCCGCGCGGTTCCGTTCTTTCGCCGGGCTCTCTCAAGTGCGGATAGAATTCTAATTTCACGTCCGTTTCTCTGTACAACAAGCCATGCAAATTTCGTCCCAATTCGACAGGTTCTACTCGGGTTCCACCTCTCTCTCCCTCTCCCGCTTTGTAACAGAGAACCGACAGGGCGAAATAATTCCGTGGGCTCCGCAAAGTGAATTATAAAGGCATTATACGGTCGTTGTTTAAACTTTTCTCGCGCCACCTCGGAAAACAGAGCCTCTGACATCGAACAACGAAGAATATTCGCCGTTTCACGCCGAAAGACTGCGACGAATTGCGGCTACAAGGAGCGGTAAACATTGTGTTTTCCATTCTTCCTTCTCGCTTCATTTATTTTCTATTTGCAGCGACTCGCGTTCACATTCCAGCGCCCTTTGACACGGAATAACTTTGTTCAAAGTTGCCACTCACGTTCTGCTGGGCTTGTTTCAAGTTTTATACAGATCATTTGATCGCTAGATTAATTTAACTTCAACACCCGCAACATTTATTTCGTATAAATCATTCGGAGACGAGATTTTTCTAAGACGCGGTGGAAAGGAGATGCATTTTGCAACATGAAGGACTGTTGCGATTACTCATCAGGATCTACGCGATTTTCTGCTACTTTTACACGATCTACTCGATCTCTAGATCAATCTGACTTCAACACCCGCAACCTTTTTTTAGTATAAATCATTCGAAAACGAGATCTTGTACGACGAGAAGGGAAGATGTTATATTTTCCAACATGGCGGGCTGTTACAATTATTATACACGTTCTCCTCGACTTTTTTACATTTTTATACGATCTATTCGATCTCTAGATCAATCTGACTTCAACACCCGCAACCTTTCTTCAGTATAAATCATTCGAAAACGAGATCTTGTACGACGAAAAAGGAAATGTTTGTATTTTCCAACGTGACGGCCTGTTCTTAATCGCTGTCCACATCTTTCTCGACTTTCTACTACTTTTTCATAGCACATTCGATCCCTAGATCAATCTGACTTCAACACCCGCAACCTTTCTTCAGTATAAATCATTCGAAAACGAGATCTTGTACGACGAAAAAGGAAATGTTTGTATTTTCCAACATGACAGTCTGTCATCTAATCGCTGTCCACATCTTTCTCGACTTTCTACTACTTTTTCATAACCTATTCGATCCCTAGATCAATCTGACTTCAACACCCGCAACCTTTCTTTAGTGTAAATCATTCGAAAACAAGATCTTGTACAACAAGAAGTAAAATAGTTGAATTTTCCAGCATTGTGTCCACGCGCGAAACGAATAACACAACACGTCCGGCAAACCTCGAGGTCCGGGCAGCAAAATAAAATATCTCGGAGCCGTAATTCCCGTTCCATTAACGTTTCGAAACCGAGAGATTATTCCGCGGGCGTTTTGTCGGCGGAACACGATTTTCATTTCGATATTCCGTCTGTGGCCGAACAAAAGCTCGGGCGCACGGACGTGGACGCAGTTGGCGTCGAAGCGGCCGCGCATCGATGCTTTAATGGTAAAATATGCCGTTACATCGGCCGTTCCACTTACATACGTGCACGTACGCGGATGATTAATATCTAATACGCGTGCTACCGGCGAGCAGTTCTTTTTTTTCGTAAATTTCAGAGCGCGCCGCTTCGCGCCGCGCCGCGCCGGTAATACATTTCGCGGGAGAGCCCCGGGACGAACTTCCGGCGTTTTGTTTCGCCGCGGAAAAATTGCGGCCCAGTTCCGGCCAGTAGTTCGCCGATTAAAATGCAAATAGATCAGAACGTTATAGTTTCATTGTGTTATCCCCGGGCGGCGCTCGGCCCGGCTCGGCGCGGCTCCCTCGTTTTTTGATCGCGACACCCGCTCCTAATTCCTTCGCTGAACCTATTTACATATAAAATGTGTACCGGCCCGCAATTTATCGAATGTCGCCGGCGACGGTTGCTTTAAATGCAAAAAAGACGCGTCCCGCCTCCCTTGTTAGCCCCTATGCATTTTTAATGGCCGTACGTCAACGAATGAGCCCGACGTCGCGGATTTATATTTACGCGAGTCGCGAGATCTCCGACGATATCCGATCCGATTCGCGAGATCGACGTCGAGACAACGCAATTTATAACCCTCCGCGCAACTAGTTAATCTTCGCAGATTCTCTCTCTCTCTTCCTCTCTCTTTCTCTCTCTCTCTCTCTCTCTCTCTCTCTCTCTCTCTCTCTCTCACTCTTTTAACTTCTCTGCAATTTATTCGATAGAGCGACCCCGACTTCGGCCAGCGATATTTATTTCGTTTATTGTAATGCGTTCGAGAAAGAGATTCCGATCGACACGCGGAAAGAGATATGGTAGCCAGCATGGCCGACAGCCGAGCACGTGATGGACGTCGACAGAACTCGATTTGTAACGGCCTCGCAGCCATTTTTCACCTTTCTATACCGTTTCCTAGATTTATATAATTCATGCTTTGCGATCGGGAACGGTGTCTTCCGCGACTAGGATGTTCCTCGATGGAAATCATTCGGAAACGCGAGTCGGCTTCATTTGTTAACGGTATATTATTTTCCTTCGAGTTTCTGCAACTTTTACATCGTCTATTTGATCCGTAGATTAATTTAACTTCAACACCCGCAACATTTATTTCGTATAAATCATTCGGTGACGAGATTTTTCTAAGACGCGGAGGAAAGGGGATACATTTTCCAACATGGCGGACTGTTGCGATTACTCCTCAGGTTCTACGCGACTTTCTGCTACTTTTATACGATCTATTTGATCTCTAGATCAATCTGACTTCAACACCCGCAACATTTCTCTAGTATAAATCATTCGAAAACGAGATTCTTTTAAGACGAGAAGGAAAGAGGATATATTTTCCAACATGGCGGACTACTCCTCGGGTTTTACGCGACTTTCTGTTGCTTTTATACGATCTACTCGATCTCTAGATCAATCTGACTTCAACACCCGCAACATTTCTTTAGTATAAATCATTCGAAAACGAGATTTTTTTTAAGACGAGAAGGAAAGGGGATATATTTTCCAACATGGCGGACTACTCCTCAGGTTTTACGCGACCTTCTGTTGCTTTTATACGATCTACTCGATCTCTAGATCAATCTGACTTCAACACCCGCAACATTTCTTTAGTATAAATCATTCGAAAACGAGATTTTTTTTAAGACGAGAAGGAAAGGGGATATATTTTCCAACATGGCGGACTACTCCTCAGGTTTTACGCGACCTTCTGTTGCTTTTATACGATCTACTCGATCTCTAGATCAATCTGACTTCAACACCCGCAACATTTCTCTAGTATAAATCATTCGAAAACGAGATCTTCTACGACGAGGACAGAAGATGTTATATTTTCCAACATGGCAGACTGTTACAATTACTCCTCACGTTCTTCTCGATTTTCATAAATTTTTATACGATCTACACGATCTCTAGATCAATCTGACTTCAACACCCGCAACCTTCCTTTAGTATAAATCATTCTAAAACAAGATCTTATACGAGAAGGAAAAAGGTTGTATTTTTCAACACTATAGTCTGTTATTAATCACTGTCCACATCTTTCTCGAATTTCCACCACTTTTTCATAACCTACTCGATCCCTAGATCAATCCGACTTCAACACCCGCAACCTTCCATCGCTATACACCGTCATAGAACGAGACTTTCAATCGAAACAACTCAATAACTCGCGCTTGCCAACGCAACGGACAGAGTTGGTCGGCATTCGAATAAAATTTTATCCTTTTATTCTATCGTACATTTATTACGTTGTTCGAAAATAACAAATATCTTTCTATCGCGATAAAATCGTTATTCACAGCCACTACTTTTATTCGCTTTTATTTATCGTCGTTTTTACATTCGTCGTTTAGCTCCTTCGATTAAAAAATCGTATCCGAACAAACCCCCCGCCCCCAATAACTACAACTTTATTCGCAAACAACGAATGAAACTATTCCTCCATTAAAATCATCGTTATTCCTGTTTCGCCGATAAATCTGAAGGACGCGTCGATTCGCCGGAGCAAAGAAACGAATCGGATGCTCGTAAAATCGCGTCTTCGTCGAGCGATCGTCGAGAGGAGATCGTCTCTCGCGTTCGCCGTCGCGACTAACGTGATCGGCGAACTTGCCTAAACATCGGCGCACGGTTAACGAACCGACGGTCCGTTATAAAATATAAAACTTCCTGGGCAAAGATCGAGGAAGTTCCAAACAAATTCTCGTCTCCGCGACGCCCGGTCTTCCCGGCTGAGGGACGAGAGAGAGCACGGCTCCTCGTCGCTAAGCTTCCCGCGTCGATTACTTAACCCGTTCCAAGGCGTCTCTCCCGGGTGACACCGAGGGAAAATACGAGGCGACGGGGTGGGACTTGCCGGGGCAGGGCGCCGGGAGGGCCGGGGGACGCCTGAACCTGTCCAGGTTCTCGGTCTATAAATTCAGAGGGACGCGAAAGTCATTCTAACCCGGCTTCTTAGCCGATAACGAAGAAACCAGGCTCGCTGGCTGGCTGGCTGGGAAGATTCACGGGAAAGAAGTTCATTTAAAGGGCCGCGCGTATTCGTCCGACGACGGAAACAGGGGTCGGACGCTGCGAGTTTGTTAGCCGTATTAGTGGATTACCGCGTCGTTCGTCCGATAAGTCAGCCATCCCGACCCGACCGGCAGAAAGAGGACGGCTCTCCCTATAATTAGATTCACCGTAAAGTTGCCCGGGGAATTTCAAGAAACGAGCTCCGTGCCGCGACTCGGCAACCGCTCGTTCGCGGGCCTCGACGAATTTTTCTTCGAAAAACCGCCGATGCTCGAACCGCCGTAACTCGGTCGTGAAAAAATCGTACCCGGACGAATCGTAGCTCGTTCGAAAGAGCA